GTGTGTGTGTGTGTGTGTGTGTGTGTGTGTATTATATATAGCCTTTATAAAATTGTTTAATAACTTTTCAGTGGAGTATTCAGCAAATTGTTTAAAAGTAACTTCCCAATATAATAGTAGTTTTGAGTAGCTTAATATGGTAAAAGTTAATGTTAGTTTCCCTGAAAATAAGCCTTTAGGTGGGAAATGGGAGCTAAAGAGGCATTTATTCAGGCTTTGTATAGTGACTTTTTTTTGCTTTGGGACACATTAGCCACAACCTCACATAAATTGGAATTAACCACACTTTTTAGTGTAACTTAAAACATATTACTACAATTAACAGAACTACCATTTTGGATGTCACATTAATAAATACTATAAACTGTAATAATTTAAAATAGCTCATAGGTAATGGTGAATTTTCTCATGCCTTTAACTCTGTCATGCCCTGTTTTCAGCTCTTCTAGTATCAGTAGGCTTTAAACATTTAGTTTTTGTTAACCCAAGTCTAAATATTGACTGTTTGCATTTGAACACAAGAAGACATTTATTGTCCAAACTGCTGAAAAATTGGATAATGAATGGAAGTAACGAGGTAGATTCTGGTTTAATAAAAAGACGAATGTTGCAAACATGAGAGCTTTTTTTTTTTTTTGAAGAGAACATCCTCTTCACAACACAGTGAGTCATTGCAGGTGCTTAAGCATCGGCAGAAAAGCCTGGTAGTGAGTGGGGAAACATAGTGAGGGATTCCTACCTGGATAAAGTAGAAATTGACTAAAGACCTCTAAGTCCCATCCAGTGATAACACTGGCTAATGAATAGTTAATTTTATATATTTGATACTGAAGAGGTAAGCAAGAATTTCGAGAAGGACTTTGCTTTCCCTAAGGTAGCTCCTAAAATTCGTAAAGATAAGTATATCGCTAGAATAAAATGGGAGTAGAACTGTACTGAATTCAGTAGTAATGTGTTACTGATTACTTACAACATTGGGGCTATTTCTCTTCAGTTTTAGAATCTGAACCTTAAAAAATCACTAAACCCATGTTTACTAAAAAGGAAAGAAAAGTGTAGAGAGGATTTTTTCTCTCTAAATGATAATGCCACTTAAAATTAGTAAAATTGATACACAGTATTAATAAACTTAAAGGCCATTTAACAGTAAAATGGATCCTCATTCAAATATTTCTCAGACCTCGGTTTTCCTGACAATTTCGGAATTCATTCAGTAGCTTAAGAGACTGTGATCCCCAACTTTTTATCATACTTGAGATTTTTGTTGATGGTTTAACTGAAGAATCAAAAATTAAATGGGTTTAAGCAAGCAAGTTATTCCTGTACCTTGTATTTTTGACACTTTAATTTTCCTTTTGGTAACCAGTTAAATGAATTTCATATATTAGCTTTTGTATTTAAATGGAAAATCTTTATTCCCATGGTATTATAAAGCCTGAGT